TACAGTTGATGAACTATTATCAGTATATTACTATAAACCAAAGTCCACGTTTTATTCAGATTTCCTGGGTTGTTACCTAATGTTCTTTTCCTGTTCCAGGATGTCATCCAGGCTATTAGATGACATTTAGTCACCAAGATTCCTCAGCCCCCTCTTGGAGTTTCTCAGGTTTGCTTTGTTTTTGGTGACCTTGACAATATTTCAACAGTACTGCTCAGGTATTTTATAGAATATCCAATCACTTCTTGAGGACATATCTTGGCTGCTTCCAGTTTTTGACAATTAAGAATAAAGCTATTATAAACATTCACATGCACGTTTTTGTGTGGACATAAGTTTTCAAATCAGTTGGGTAAAATATCTAGGTGTTTGATCACCGGATCATGTGGGAAGGCTGTTTAGCTTTGTAAAAACTTGCCAAACTGTCTTCCAAAGTGGCTGCACCATTTCGAATGCCCTTCCAGCAATGAATGAGAGCAAGCATCATCCAACTGTCACAGAAAGGAGGAGGAGGAGGAGGAGGAATGAGAACAGAGAACGAGACATGATAGATTAATATCGTTGACAATTCAAGATATGTGCCATTGAAGTCTGAGGAGGACAATCTCTTCAAGAATGTGGTAGAAGAAGAAGTAGTTGAAAAGATAACAGCCAAAAAGTTTCATGTGTGGTGGAAGACATGAAGGGTCCTGGAAGTTTGGTTTCCATTTGTAGTAAGGGGGGAAATTCTGCTAATACGTTTAGATACAATCCAAGAGGAGGGTCAGATTGAATCCTAAATGACACAATGATTGTGATTCTATTTATGGATGTGATAGGAGACAAGGGAGGGAGGGAGGGAGGAAGGAAGGAAGGAAGGTAGGAAAGAAGGAAGGAAGGAAGACAGGCAGGAAGGAGGGAAGCAGTGGGGGAAGGAGGGAGGGAAGTAGAGAGGGAGGAAGGAAGGGCAGAGAGAGGAGAGGTGGAGGGAGGGGCAGCTTGGTTCCCAAGAGCAGTCCAATACCAGCAGCAATAGGGAAAGCTTGGTAAAGAAATTGATTCAAGCACCATCCCTGACACATTTGACCTTAGAAAAGTCATTTAAAATCAAGCCTGCCTTCCTTATTTAAAATAAGAAAGATGTCCAAACCTGACTTCTCCCTTACAATGACTGTTGCTATGACAATACATGTAATATATTTCCAGCCTCTTGGTCAAATTTTTTTTCTATAAATTCAATATTATTGGAATTGCTCTTTCTGGAGTCCCATACTTTAGCCAATTTAGCCCATTTTTCTCTCCTTAGAGTCTCCCCCAACCCCAAGAAACAGTAAACACAAAATAGGGATTATATTTGAATTTCAGCTTGTGTTTTCATATAAGTTAATCTGCATTTTCTCTGAGGTTAGAACAGTGTTCTTTATTATTCACATTCCTGAGTCTTTTATCACTGTAATCTAAGAGGAATTTAGATTGGGCACCCCATATTTCATGTGTTAAACCGTATAGGCTACTTTTCAGTGCATATGACCAATCTGTTTTAAATTTGTTTTGTAAGAAAGGTCACTTTGTGAGGTGCTACCTCTAAGGCCACTGAATTCCAATCTCTCTGTGTGTGCACGTGTGGTTTTTATTTTTAACTGCCTAATACTGCAGGTTCCAAACAAATCTCTCAAAAGTTACAAGCTAAGAAAAAGGAAAGCAACAAATTGTTTTGATTAATCCTAAATCACAAGTCTGTGAGTACAGTGTGCATATCAAGTAGAGCTACACCATACTGAATTTGTAGACCTGAGTGTTACCCAGAGAGATGCATACCTATTCAAGGATGCTGCCATTGTTCAGAGCTTTTCTGGAACTCATTCTCTTTGAATAGTGCTTTTAGAGCCTGCAGCACATGTTAATCTTTGTCTTTTGAAGTTCCATTAATCATCCAATGTAATTTTGGTTAGTTTTTGGTGATGCATAAGATGTGAATTAATTTTTAATATCTATACATGGACAAGAAGGAAAGGTCCGTTTTTAGCCAAGTTTGAGTCACCACCCTGACACTGTTTATGCATCCCCATCGCTTGCCCAGAGTCAAGTTCCTTAGACTGAGAGACTGCTTCCTCATTTATAAACAAGAATGGCTAATATCTATCTCAACAGTTTCAAGATAAGCAGAATGCACAAAATACCTAGCATATTTAGTTCTTCTTGTCCACTGACAAAGTGGCAGCTGTGTAGGAAAGGAACACTACGATGAAGGTGCTTCAATATGCTTTTTCAAATAAGTCTTTAATAGTTGCATTTTATTTTTATCAGATATCCATTCTAAGAATATTATTATTATTATTTTTTTATTTTAGGAAAAAATCTACTACCTTAGGGTGACTTGAGGTGAATGGACTGTGGGTATGTGCATTTTCCCCGTGCCATAAATGGTCATGGGATAGTACGGCAAAGGTAGCTGTGAACAGTGAAACTGAAAATATAAATTGATACCACATTACAGGCAGCTTTGAACAGCAGGCTGCAGGTTTAGACATTATCCAATAGAAGAGGTGGCCACTGAGAGCTTTTGAGCAGAGAAAAAGTGATTTTGTCTGTGCTTTGGGAACATCAGTGACACGCTAGACTAAAATTTCTTGACAGCAGGGTCTGCTTCTTACCTCTGACCATCTTTTACTCGTCTTTCTGTGAATAAATAGAATGAATGACTGCATGGAAGGGTAGGATGGGGAATAAGAACATGGGCAGAAAGACCAGGATGGAATGGAAAAAGGTGTCATGAAAGTTTTACTGAGACAAGCTCAGAAGGATTCAGTGACAGGAGGGATGTCAGGGCTGAGGAAGATGGGGGAGATCTGAAAAGACACTGAGACAGCTGGCTTCGGTGACAGTGGGGTGGGAATCGGCACAGGGAGGTTGCCATTCACAGAAATAGAAAACACGCAATAGGAAACCAATTTTGAAAATGAGGGAACAACGCGTCTGATTTTAGTTCAGCGAGGTGGAAATGTCCAATAGGCAAATGAAAACACGGGTCTGGAGCTGAGCAGGGGTAAAGATCAGAGATAGGATTTGCTGCGAGTCATACAACTGAAATCTTGGCAGTGGATGAAACCATCCTCAGAGGATGGGTTGCTCAAGAAGATTGGCCAATCACAGGACCTTGGGCCTGCTTATGAAATGGCTGTAGGGCAGGAAGCTGGATAAGATGTTAGGAAAAACCTGGGCACAGGAACACCATCAGAGACCCTGTCGGGGAGGCCAAAAGTGGATTCCAGAGGTGCAGTTATCAGCTCAGGAAGCGATTGTGCAATGAGGTTCAAAAGGGCAGAAGGGTTTTGGCTATCAGTAGCTCACTGGTGACCTCCCTGAGGGCTGTTGGGACAGGGAAGTCTGGGGCCAGTTGCAGTGAGGTCAAGCAGAGGCATGGTTGGGAGAGGGAAGTCAGCTGTCTCTGCTCCTTCTGAGTCTCCTTAGAAGGTTTTTCTCTGTTGCCCCTTAATGTTAATGTCACCTAGGACTCTGCCCTTGGCTCCAAGCTCACCACACCGAGGTTCTCTTGGTTTCAAATAACAGAAAAAAACTCTAGCTGGCTGAGCAGAAAAATTGATTGGAAGGATACAGGGTTACCTCAGAGGACCCAAAGGGTTACGACTCGACCTTGGGCACAAGTTTAACCAGAAACCAGGCACCAAGGGCTTCTTTCTTTTCTTTCTTTGCTCCCCTCTTGGTGTCTATTTTTTTTCCTTTGTTCTTGTTGCAAAACAGCCACCTTTGTTCCCCAGGCCGAGTGGTAGAAACACTGCCACTAGCTCCTGAGCCACACTCCCCACTCAGCCACCCAGGGACGCCATTGGCTCACTCATGCCCACTCTCTAGGTCCTCCAAGGGCACAGACTGAGTGACCAGCTAGAATAGATGCCCACCCTTGGGCCATCAACTGAGGTCAGACCAATAATGTCACATGGCACAGGCAGGATCATGTGAATCGAGGATACAGAGACTGGGATAGTGGGAGAACAAGCTTACCGGATGATGATGTGGTTTGGGCCTAGACAAGCGATAAGGAGAGGAAGGGGACATGAGCAGATTCTCATTCTCCCTCTTTCTTTGTGACTTTGCTCTGAGAGCCTGGATCCTCATAAGGAGCAAATCCAAGAGGTGTTCTCCTTCCTGGATGAGGCCTCAGTTATATTGTTTTTCCCTGAGAAAGAAAACAGAATGGCTGCCCAGATATTACCAGCTGCCCCTCTCTTATGACCAGCCCTGGGTATACCTGCTGAGTCTCCACTGGCCGTGTCCATAACCTCTGTGTGAACCAGAACTGAAAGATGCAGGGAGCCAACCAGAGCTTCTTTCTGAGGTCTCTGGACTTGGAACTGGATGGATGGATCATGGGCTGATTCCTTTCTAGAATGGTGGGAGGCTGTCAGGAACTATGGCTGGGTCTGGAGGTGCAGGTGATGTGGGGTCTGGTTATTCTGGAAACCCAGGTGTATCCTCTCATGTCCCTGTTAGATTCCACAAGCTTGCCCAGCGTTCTCTAGTAAACTCCCTTATAGTCTAAGCTGGTTTGGGTAGTTTTCTGACATTGAGACCAAAAAGAGGAGTCTTGGTTAGTCCAGGGTCAAGGGAGTTGTCCAAGAGCTTTTCCTAACCTGTCTCTTGCCTCCCACAGCCACTGTAGGACAGATCCCTCTTTGAGGTCCAAAGAGTGCCTACAGTACAAGGTTTTGGAATTCTGGCAATTAATGAAATAATGGCACTTTGCTAGTATTTTTAACTTTTTCCTATTTTAGAAATCTAAAATCTTTGTAATTCATGTTGTGAGGTCAGGATCAATTACTCAATTATTAAATTTATGATGAAAATACCTGAACAAAACTCTACCCGAAGTCAAAAAGAATTTCTTATCAATTGGGACAATTTGTACAAAACATATATGCTACTCAGTGATACCATTGATCCATTTTATTTTTGAAATAATATTTCATTTGTACTGCTTAATGATTTTCAATGTTTCCTCATTTTAGGTAAAGTTCAGTTTATTAATTTTTGAATAAGTCTTTATTTTTTAAACAAAATTCAGTTTTGGAATAGTTTTTGATTCATAGAAAAACTGAGAAAATGATACAGAGATCTCATACACCCCTCACCCAGTTTCCCATTATAATATTTTATATGAGTTTGATACATTTGTCACTACTAATGAACCAATGTCAATACATTAATAGTAGCTGAAGTCCACACTTGATTTGCTTTTACCTAATGTCCTTGTTTCCATTCCAGGACCCCATGCAGAATATCAAATGACCCTTGGCTGTAGGCTTCCTTAGGCATCTCAGGATTATCACAATTTTAAAACTTTATTAAAATTATCTGCAAATAATTGTATAAGAATGAAACTTGTTTAATGTTTTTGTTTTAAAAATCTACATTTTACTTGGCCTTTAATTATTTAATACTTTAAAAATATAAATTATTTTAAAAAATATGAATTGTTTGTTTTACAAATATTATTGTAGTGAATTCTAGGAACAAATAAAATATTAGTATTGATACCATTATTTTTGAATTATTTTAATAAATGCTGTATGTCCAGTGGTGCAGTTTTTGCTCCAGGATGGCATCCCTGGAGCCCAGGGGGATGGGAGACCGTGGAGACTGTGAGCCCAGCTGGCCAAGGCTCTGGTGCAGGGCAGAACCACCGGAACCAGAAGTGTGTACCAGGGGCAACTGGGCAGGCCAGGTTTTGCTTCTGTGTATCAGGAAGCCCAGGCTCAGGCCACCCAAAGAGCTTCTACAATCACATCTGTGTCCCCAGGACCCCTAGTGCGTGCTGTTCTCCCTTGTATGATGTGGACAGGGCCACCTTGTGGAAGTCCACCTGATTTGTCTTGCACAGCCAGCACCAGTGCAGTGTGGATCTAGATTCTGGGTACGTGAACTTAGAGAAGCCTTACCTCTTTGTTTCCCTAATGCCTCGCTCAGTGTTTGGAACACAGTAGGCAAGCGGGACACTTCGATGCTATTGTTCATTCAACCAAAGTGGAATGAATGAAGGCAACTGGCACCATTGGTGGGAAAAGCTGCCCCTTGCCAGACCTTGGGAGCTGATGGGAACCAGGGACCTGAAGTGGTGCATGGCCAAGGGAGTGGAGCATTGCAACCTGCAGTGTGGAGTGGCAAGAGAGGTGGGGGACGGCTGAGTGGCAGGGCCAGCAGCGGCACCTGACTCGGGGCTGCTAGCCACACAGAGGGAGACTGGTACACACAACCACCTCTGGAATTCCAAGCCCAAGTATATTATCAGCATCCAGGAATTATGATTAGGAGTTTAATCACAAGTATGCAGATCACAAAGTCACAAGGGCAAGGTCTGTTTGACCTTTAAATACATTACAATTTACAGCCCTCCCCGGAATTGCCAAAAGTAGATCTCGACGGTTGGGCTTCATTTTGTCCATTCTTCATAGCATATTCGAAGTCTCTAAAGCTGACGAGACCATCTGAGTCTTGATCTACTTCCCTGGAAAATGAAACGCAAAGTTATTTACACAGTATTCTCCTCACACCTACGCATCAAGAGCACATTAGAACCCTCCTTTCTTTGTGTGCCTGTATGAGAAAGGAACCTATTTCATCTACGTGAAGGCTAAGATTGATGTCTATGTGTTTTTTCTTACATTGATAATACCTAAGGTGGGGATGAAAGGAAAGGTATTTATTAAAACCTACAGAAATAATATATCCGAACTATTTAAAGCAAGGAAGCCAAATGTACAGGTTATACAAGAAAAGGAGGAACAACTGCTTTTCTAGTTGTCCTGCACAGACTTTTCTATGATATACAGAAAAAAAATGCATGCATTATAATAGACAGTGGGATAAACAAATAAGAGATAAGGAAGACATTGGGCACCAACAGGACAGGAACAGAGACAGACATCCCGTCGGAGAGCACGGCCTGCACCTCACGTGACTCAATCAATCTGCACCAAAGCCGAGACAGGTCCATTAACAGAAGGACACACTGAGCCTTCAGGAGGCTCTCCAGCTTTCTCAGGATCACCCTCCCAGGAAGCAGCAGCACTGGGACTCAAACTTAAAGCCAGGCTCCATCCTCTATGCCCGTGGCTTTCCTACATCATCCCAGGGAGAAGTTTCCGGCACAGCTAACCACACCTCCAGGGCTCCAGTCACGGCCCCGTGGAAATACTGTCAATCCCTGAACACCTCTAAGCGTCTCTGACTCCTATGAAGAGGGACGATGAAGGGCACCTCTGGTTGGTTGACGGAGGGTGTGTGTGGCCTCAGTGGGGTTGGGCCTGCGGACACAGGGCCTGGCTCCCTGAACCGCAGGTGGAGAACAATGCCCACTCCTCAGGGTTAAGAACGCAGGTCCGAGGGACAAGATCACAGCATAAGTAACACAGCCAAACTGTTACCAACAGAAGAACTTGGTTACCAAGTATGTTTGAAAAGATAATTGAGTGGTGGTCACAGGTCCTTTTGGGGGGTGTTCTGAACTAATGCCTTACATGCCTTCTGTGGTTTAGGCAGATTCTATTTTGTTGAAAAAACAAACAGTGTCAACCATGACACAGGACATTTTAGAGGAAAGACTGGCCCAAGCCAGAGAGCCACTAATCACTGTAATAGTTTTAAAGCAGACTTTTAAAATATTGAATTCTAAAATAAACTTTCTGAATATTTCATGCCAAAGTCTCTGAAGTCTATAATGGTTCTGGATAGAGTGATGATAATTTTTCATTCTTTTGAAGTAGAGAAAAATCCCCACTTCCCTGCCCCAGGGCAAAACCATGTTGCAGTGTGTAAGTCGAAAATGACTGCAGACTGCAGAGGCCATTATTCTTGTTACTTCTTTGGTGAAATATACATGACGATTTCATGCTGCATAGCACCAAAAGCACAATGTCAGATCTCTTCTAAGGGATTAGAAATAATCAGTATCACACGTTACTGACTACAGAATATAAATCATCCCTTTTATAAAATTAGATAATTGAAGATTCTTAATATTGCCTAAGCATTTCTTCCCAAGGAACTGGATTAGATAAATGGTCTTTTCTCTTCCCACTCTGACAGTCTGGGGAAACTAGAAATCTCAGAGGGTGAGTAAAGTGAATAACCTAGCAAAGTAACATTTATAATAAACTGCTTCTGATAATATTTTTGTGTATATTTTTATTCACCTATTGAGATGCTGAATGCTAACAGAGAAAGGAATCCTTTTGCTTAATTTTCACAGTAAATAACCTTTGCTGTCATTATATTAACTTCCCCCAATGTTTTTTTCCTGTCTTTGCGGAGACTTCCCATCATAAAATGTTTCCAGTATAACCAAGAGGTACTAAGAGGGGTGAGTCCACTCATTATTATTCACATAATAAAAGGAGGGGCGTCCTATCTATTTGTACATGACAGGGTAAAATAATCGATGCCTCCCGACTCTTCTTCAAATATGAGCAGATCTGGTCACTTCGTGAGAGTAAAGAGGAAATTCAAGTTCCAGAGCTGTAATTTTTAAAGCTAAAATATACTTCTTCTTCTTCTTTTTTTTTTTTTTTTAACAGGCAAAATTATTTGGAAGCAGGAAGATTTCACAGCACCCACACTCAAAGTGCTGTGTGACGAGGAACAGATGTGGCTGGTGGGTAGAGGTGGTGATGTGCTGAGGAGAGGAAGAAAACGCCTTTAGAGAAAAAGGTGAAAGTCTCACCGCTTCTGTCCACAGCATCTGACCCCAGTTCTGAAACCCAGCGGGTTGTTCTGCCATCCCCAACGTACTTTCAGCACTAAAATATTTGACACCATTCCCCCCCAACTCATAATGAGCCCTGGAGGGCAAGCACCTTCCTTCCCCACCTCTCAGCACAGAGCAGGCAATGAATGAAAGGATTTGTGGGACAACAAATTTGGGGAAACCCACCTCCCAGCAGGCACTGGGGAATTAAAGGGACTACCATCACTAGCATCTGGAGTCCAAAAGCAGCCATCTCAGAGTCGCCTCTCACGGAGTCCCGGAGATGTCAACTATGGCCTCCATGCTCAGGCACATTCTGCAAATGCAGGCTGGGTACAAGACAGACTAGATGAGAAATGGAAAATGAGGCTGCGGATGTGGGCGATGGATGGAAGAAGCCCTCGAAGGCCAGAACAACGGAGGGCTGCAAGGCAGGACAAGGAACCAGGGCCGAAGGCTGCAGGCCAAACTGCCCTGAGTCCAGGACCGGGCTCTACCATGGAGTCAAGCGGCTGCTCTTTGACAAGATATTTGGATGTGGCCGAGAATACATCCAGGCTTGCGCTCCAGGACTGGCTCCTCTAATTAAAACAGATGTACGACAGGAAAATAAACTGCTGTTAACAATAACAACTACTTTCTAAAATTGTAGGCCCACTTAAATTAAAAAATTTTTAAAAAATACACAAAGGAGATCTGGAATTGATTTTAGGAGTAGAGACCCCAAAGAGCAGATGTACCTCTGTGTAATTTAGTATGAAACTTGGAGAGCCCTGGGAGGAAGGGGGTAGGAAGCGAGATGAGAGGCCAGGAATGAGGATGACCGCCATGCCACCCCCCAGGGCCTCGGTGGTCAAGAGCCTCTGAATAACTGCTGCACTGACTAGGAGCCTCAGGTCATCTGTGTTGCCTTTACGCCCTCATTGCTCTTTTTATTTTTAAAATACGTTTTTTAGTTGTCAATGGTCCTTTATTTTATTTATCTATCTGTGGTGCAGAGAGTTGAACCCAGTGCCTCACACGTGCTAAGCGAGTGCTCTATGGACAAGGTGAGCCTGGGGGTGTCTGCGTTGAGTCAGGGGCTGAGGATTGAATTAGGAGGTGAGTTTTTTTTTTTTCTGGGTAGGTATAGTAGAGGGCAAAAAAATGCGGAGTGGTAGCATTTTCCATCAACTAAATTAATTCACAGAAATAAGGGCTCAGAGCCATAACTCTCAAGAAATTTGTAAGAATCTTAGAAAGTAGGATGGGGAGGGGGGTCTAGGCAGTGGTACTGTCTGGACTTTGGAGGGCAGGAGGACCTCAGGTAACACTGGGATACGTTGAGCGTTTCAGGCAGGACTAGAGAGTCCATTCCAAAGGTTCACCCCATATCTATTAAAATACAGACATTTCCTCAGTCATCATTATTAAAAACGGCTACATTTATCTCCATCTGCATGAGCTTTGGTGTTTTTGTCTTTTACAGCCTGATCTGTTGAGCAGGACTACTCTCAGCTTTTGGTGATGCTTGTAGGCTTCATCAGCCCAGACTAGGTAGGTTCCTCTTGGATCAGAGGCCATAGGCCTAGCCCTGAAGGAGCCTGGGTCCCCTGCTGGGACTCTGCTGAAGCCAGGCCACAGAGTCACCCTTCTGCAGCCTGAGGGGAAATGTGGGTTTCTTTTTTTAAATTACAAACATGTAAATAGTGTTTCTCTAAAGTAGTAACTGTTTCTTGGAGGAAATATTTACACTGGCACAGTTTCTAAAATGTTCTGCAAGTACTTATTTCTTGAAAAATAGTTTTTGTTGTAAAATCACTTGAGAGTAATCTATGGCCAAGTCTCCAAAGCCAGATTTCATACTGGAGAACTGGCTTTTACCCAAGTTCCTTTTTTAAAAAGGGAAAGAAAGAAAGAGAGGATGGTTTGTAGATTTTATCACACTGGACTAGTCTCTATTAAAGTAATACAAAGACTCAGAAAGTGACATCTTTAATTGTAAACAAGAATATAAACTTGTATTTACACCACAATTCAATCTTATAAATCTATATTCATTGGGCAGAAGTTGAAGGCTAGATACTAAACAGAATGAAGAAAGTAGGGTTATGGGTATTTCTGTCTTAAAATATTCTTTACAATTAAGCATTTTCTTTCATTTTAGTCTGACTTTTCCAAACAAGGGATCTTATTTCATACTGTATAAAGTATCATTGGCTAAAGCTGGGCTTCTCAGTCTCAGCCCCATTGACATTTTTTTTTCTTTTTTAAAAGAATTTAATCTTTATTTTATTTACTTATTTTTATGTGGTGCTAAGGATCAAACCTAGTGCCTCACCCATGCCAGGCAAGCGCTCTACCACTGAGCTACAACCCCAGCCCGTCATTGACGTTTTGGACCAAATAGTGTTACAGCAGAGAGGGGGCTGTCCTGGGCATCGGATGGACATGTAGAGCATCCCTGGCCTCTACCCACTAGAGGTCAGTAGCATCCTCTTCCATGCCCCACCCTCAGTTCTGACAGCCAAAAAGGTCTCCAGAAATCGCCAAATCACCAAATCACCTGAGGACAATCACCCCAGGGTGAGAACCATTGAGCTACAGGAACCATAGTTTGAGGCAATTCCTGGGACTATTCCAGCTAAATCTAGAATTACTAAAATAATTGCTTTCAAGACTTTTTTTTAAACAAGTGATTTCAGGGCCAGCAGATGCATACATTTTCCTCGGATGGATTATACAGATAATTGTCCTAATACTCTGTCTGGCCCAAACTAGGT